ATGTTGCGACGTGTTCTCCCGGTGTTAATGTTGCGACGTGTTCTCTCCTGGTGTTAATGTTGCGACGTGTTCTCCCGGTGTTAATGTTGCGACGTGTTCTCCCGGTGTTAATGTTGCGACGTGTTCTCCCGGTGTTAATGTTGCGACGTGTTCTCCCGGTGTTAATGTTGCGACGTGTTGTCTCCCGGTGTTAATGTTGCGACGTGTTCTATCCCGGTGTTAATGTTGCGACGTGTTCTCTCCCGGTGTTAATGTTGCGACGCGTTCTCTCCTGGTGTTAATGTTGCGACGTGTTCTCTCCCGGTGTTAATGTTGCGACGTGTTCTCCCGGTGTTAATGTTGCGACGTGTTCTCCCGGTGTTAATGTTGCGACGTGTTCTCTCCCGGTGTTAATGTTGCGACGTGTTCTCTCCTGGTGTTAATGTTGCGACGTGTTCTCTCCCGGTGTTAATGTTGCGACGTGTTCTCTCCCGGTGTTAATGTTGCGACGTGTTCTCTCCGACGTGTTCTCCCGGTGTTAATGTTGCGACGTGTTCTCCCGGTGTTAATGTTACGACGTGTTCTCTTGGTGTTAATGTTGCGACGTGTTCTCTCCCGGTGTTAATGTTGCGACGTGTTCTCTCCCGGTGTTAATGTTGCGACGTGTTCTCCCGGTGTTAATGTTGCGACGTGTTCTCCCGGTGTTAATGTTGCGACGTGTTCTCCCGGTGTTAATGTTACGACGTGTTCTCTTGGTGTTAATGTTGCAACGTGTTCTCCCGGTGTTAATGTTGCGACGTGTTCTCCCGGTGTTAATGTCGCGGGCGTCCACCGCGAGGCGCGCGCTACGCGACTCCCAGTATATCACTCCGCGGCCTTTGTCTGCTCCGGATGCTCTGACCAGCAAGTTGTGTTTGAGGCGGCCGGATGTTGAGGTCAGAGTGTGTGATGAACCTCCTCTTGTGTAGCAGTCAATGCTTACTCCTATACCAAATGTTTTAACGGCATCAAAATGATTAGTTTTAACCAAGTGATTTTGTGCCATGTTGTTGCGGAGAACAGGACCGCGCGAAGGTAGGTAGGTAGGGATAAGGGGAGGGAGAGGGGGAAACATGGAGTGAGGGAAGGTTGACGAGTGGGGAGGGTGAGGGAGGGGGAGAGGGAGACGGGTGGGGGAAGGAGAGGGATGGAGGGGTTAATGATGTAAATACTATTAGATGATTGTAAATTTCGCGGGAGCGAGGCACCTTGGCGCCAAAAATCGACTAGAGTGTTGGCGGCACCCGCTGTTCGGATCCCTCCACAATCAGTACCACTGTTGGTTCACACTTCCAAAATTATATATTCTACAAAAAAAATAGCCACTAAAACATTCTTATGAAATATAGTACATAACATTAGCTGATTGGATATAAGTGAAGAAATATTGAAAAAAGTGAATAGAGTTTTGGGTTAAAGTCACAGCCAAGGGAGACGAACACCACGACCAGAAATTACCCGCGCGTTCACCTTGACGCTTCTGCTGGTGCTGTTGTTGGTGCTGCTGTTGTTGTTGTTGTTGGTGCTGTTGTTGGTGCTGTTGCTGGTGCTGTTGCTGGTGCTGTTGTTGGTGCTGTTGTTGGTGCTGTTGTTGGTGCTGTTGTTGGTGCTGTTGCTGGTGATGTTGTTGGTGCTGTTGTTGGTGCTGTTGAATGTGGTGGTGGTGATGCTGCTGCAACTGTTGAGGGTTCTGCTGGTGGTTGTGATGGTGATGCTGGTGATGGTGATGCTGGTGATGGTGATGCTGGTGATGGTGATGCTGGTGATGGTGCTGTTGGTGATGGTGACACCGTTCACTCATCACCCCGTGTAGTACACTAATCCTTCTCTCAAACTACTAACGTAGTCACTGACGTTCTCAAGAGGAAAAGGTGTTTCAGGTGTTGGACTTAACACCTAACAACCTGCGGGATGTTTATTACGGCCACAACAATAGTTTACTGACCACCTACCAAACATTCTTTAGTCCTGAGGTAAACTCATCAGAGTCCAAGGTAAACTCTGGGTGTATATACACCCTGAAGCGGGGTACACCTCGTCCAGTATACCAAGATGTGTCTTTGTTGCTGGGTTTAGGGATTATATATGCCTGGGGAGGGTTATATATCCCTGGGGAGGATTATATATATATGCCTGGGGAGGGTTATATATGCCTGGGGAGGATGATAAAGATCACCACAACACCTTGCAACCACCACACGTATATATACTCGTATATATACTCGTATATATACACGTATATATACTCGTATATATACACGTATATACACACGTATATATACAGGTCACACTGAGAACAAGAAGCCACAATCTGGGTCACACACACATACTCCACATGGCAGCGTGTTGACAACATACTCTGTTATACAACTGTATACTTTCTTACCTTGGTAAGTCCTCGCAAAAATGCTGGGTCAATATACACAAAAATACTAGGCCTTGTGGTGAGAATTATAGAGTTATTATAATTGTGGTTCTGAATATATGTGATATTATTATGAGAGAGAGAGAGAGAGAGAGAGAGAGAGAGAGAGAGAGAGAGAGAGAGAGAGAGAGAGAGAGAGAGAGAGAGAGAGAGAGAGAGAGAGAGAGAGATAGAGAGATAGACTGAGAGAGATTGAGAGAGATTGAGAGAGATTGAGATTGAGATTTACAAAAAATACAAAACTTAATATTTCTACCAAAACGTCAGTATCAGGGTTCGAATCCCGTAACAATGACCACCAGCGAAATATAAGTCGTAAACCCACACAGTCACGCGGACCCCACGAGACATAATATAAAATATTGGCTGATCATGTATTTTTGTATACAATACTTTGCTGTATTATGTGCGTTAGAATTCTTATTAAATAAAAATGGAAAGTTTTCGTGTGGTGTAGTTAGTGTAGGAGATACACTGTGATCTGTTTACCTCACAAGATATATGTGTTGTTGTGGTTGTATATTGTGGGAGTATATATTAGTGGTGACGTTGGCTTTTTGGTTCAGTAAGCTGTTGTGTTGCCACTCAAGTATCTTAACTGAGGGAAGCTCACTATAGTCCACACAACACGGTGGGAGCTGACACCACCCCACGTGACCCCAAGGTAACCACACAGGTAAACAAACGTCAACTGCACCTCACGTCGCTGGTAGACACAAGAGCTCGGGGAGACATGATCACCACATATAAAATTCTCAGGGGAATTGACAGGGTAGACAACGATGGCTTATTTAACACCCTCCCCCCCCCCTCTAACACACCCATAACCTCCCCGGAGCCGGTGGCTGAGCGGATAGAACACTGGACGCGTGATCCTGTGGTCCCGGGTTCGATCCCGGGAGCCGCCGGCGAGAAACAATGGACAGAGTTTCTTTCACCCTGATGCCCCTGTTACCTAGCAGTAAATAGATACATGGGAGTTAGTCAGCTGTCACGGGCTACTTCCTGGGGGTGGAGGCCTGGTCGAGGACCGGGCCGCGGGGACAGTAAGCCCCGAAATCATCTCAAGATAACCTCCCCCCAACACCCCGCACTCTGGCGGCGGTGACCCCACTCTCCACCACCATGGGAGGAGTCCGTCACACCACCATGGGTGTGACGGACTCACACCACTGTTGTGTCAGTGATACACAACAGTGAGGGAGCTGACAGACATATCAGAGCGCCTCCCTCGCCAACCAAAATTATTTCCTTAGCTCAGAACACAGACGGTTCAAAAGTCACGATACGAGATTAAGGACAAATTTCCACATGTTAAAAACGTGAAACTGGTGACCAAACATAACTGCCTCTTGGAGGAGCACAAGGGGATCAAGCAGGGCCCTTCACCACACCAATTACTGCCATTACCAACTAAGACATACAAACAAAACAACCAAAACAAGAGGCGGTGTGTGGCAGGAAGCCATCGGGTGGCTGAGAGAGAGAGAGAGAGTCCGCACACTATATTAACATAAGGAGAAAACTCCAGTCTGGCACACAGTGTACATATTGTAGGTGGGTGCACCTCATTACACTCTGCCCTTAAGTGCCAACACTTGACTCACCTGAGTGCCAACACTTGACTCACTGGAGTGCCAACACTTGACTCACCTAAGTGCCAACACTTGAGTGCCAACACTTGACTCACCTAAGTGCCAACACTTGACTCACCTGAGTGACAACACTTGACTCACTTGAGTGCCAACACTTGACTCACCTGAGTGACAACACTTGACTCACTTGAGTGCCAACACTTGACTCACCTGAGTGACAACACTTGACTCACCTGAGTGCCAACACTTGACTCACCTGAGTGCCAACACTTGACTCACCTAAGTGCCAACACTTGAGTGCCAACACTTGACTCACCTAAGTGCCAACACTTGACTCACCTGAGTGACAACACTTGACTCACTTGAGTGCCAACACTTAATGCACTCGAGTGCCATGCCTATACTCACTTGAGTACCAGGAGGAAGCGCACTTACAAATTAATCCCTGGAACACCATGACATTATAATTACCCCTTGAGAAGGGAAGCCAAACCGAGATTATCAACCATTTGCCCAGCTTCGTACGAAACCTTTACATCTTTCCTCAATCATGGCGGCTTTGTTTACATTTATTACAACAGTTTAGTAAATCTGCAACACGACCCGAGGTTCTCATCACCACCACCGTGACTAGTCAAGGGTTTTCACCAGCTATTTAACACGCTAAACAACTCACCAATTACCCAACAAACACAACAAACACCTCGGTGACAAACAACCACACAACATATGTTACCATTTACCAAACAAACAAAGCAACATACCTTAATAATAAAAGCAATTACAGAAGCTGACAAGAATATCCACTACAGTATCGTCACTGTAACTAGCGGTGCCTGTAGTGACATTCCTCCTCTTGTTACACCAACTCTCACACCAATACACAATTACAATACCTGACTCACTAGTCAACAACCACAGTAACCATTTGCCTCGTTAACAACCAATTTGAGTCTAGCACGTCAATCAACCACTAGAGCAGTAGTTACAGTGGCACTATCAACCACTAGAGCAGTAGTTACAGCGGCACTATCAACCACTAGAGCAGTAGTTACAGCGTCACTATCAACCACTAGAGCAGTAGTTACAGTGGCACTGTCAACCACTAGAGCAGTAGTTACAGCGTCACTATCAACCACTAGAGCAGTAGTTACAGTGGCACTGTCAACCACTAGAGCAGTAGTTACAGTGGCACTAACAACCACTAGAGCAGTAGTTACAGTGGCACTATCAACCACTAGAGCAGTAGTTACAGTGGCACTAACAACCACTAGAACAGTAGTTACAGCGGCACTGTCAACCACTAGAGCAGTAGTTACAGCGTCACTATCAACCACTAGAGCAGTAGTTACAGCGGCATTGTCAACCACTAGAGCAGTAGTTACAGTGGCACTATCAACCACTAGAACAGTAGTTACAGCGTCACTGTCAACCACTAGAGCAGTAGTTACAGCGGCACTATCAACCACTAGAGCAGTAGTTACAGCGGCATTGTCAACCACTAGAGCAGTAGTTACAGCGGCACTGTCAACCACTAGAGCAGTAGTTACAGCGGCATTGTCAACCACTAGAGCAGTAGTTACAGTGGCACTATCAACCACTAGAACAGTAGTTACAGCGTCACTGTCAACCACTAGAGCAGTAGTTACAGTGGCACTATCAACCACTAGAGCAGTAGTTACAGCGTCACTATCAACCACTAGAGCAGTAGTTACAGTGGCACTATCAACCACTAGAGCAGTAGTTACAGCGGCATTGTCAACCACTAGAGCAGTAGTTACAGTGGCACTATCAACCACTAGAACAGTAGTTACAGCGTCACTGTCAACCACTAGAGCAGTAGTTACAGCGTCACTATCAACCACTAGAGCAGTAGTTACAGCGTCACTGTCAACCACTAGAGCAGTAGTTACAGCGGCACTATCAACCACTAGAGCAGTAGTTACAGCGTCACTATCAACCACTAGAACAGTAGTTACAGTGGCACTATCAACCACTAGAGCAGTAGTTACAGCGTCACTATCAACCACTAGAGCAGTAGTTACAGTGGCACTATCAACCACTAGAGCAGTAGTTACAGTGGCACTATCAACCACTAGAGCAGTAGTTACAGTGGCACTGTCAACCACTAGAGCAGTAGTTACAGTGGCACTATCAACCACTAGAGCAGTAGTTACAGCGTCACTATCAACCACTAGAGCAGTAGTTACAGTGGCACTATCAACCACTAGAGCAGTAGTTACAGCGTCACTATCAACCACTAGAACAGTAGTTACAGTGGCACTATCAACCACTAGAGCAGTAGTTACAGCGTCACTATCAACCACTAGAGCAGTAGTTACAGTGGCACTATCAACCACTAGAGCAGTAGTTACGGCGTCACTATCAACCACTAGAGCAGTAGTTACAGTGGCACTATCAACCACTAGAGCAGTAGTTACAGTGGCACTATCAACCACTAGAGCAGTAGTTACAGCGTCACTATCAACCACTAGAACAGTAGTTACAGTGGCACTATCAACCACTAGAGCAGTAGTTACAGCGTCACTATCAACCACTAGAGCAGTAGTTACAGTGGCACTATCAACCACTAGAGCAGTAGTTACAGCGTCACTATCAACCACTAGAGCAGTAGTTACAGTGGCACTATCAACCACTAGAGCAGTAGTTACAGCGTCACTGTCAACCACTAGAGCAGTAGTTACAGCGTCACTATCAACCACTAGAACAGTAGTTACAGTGGCACTATCAACCACTAGAGCAGTAGTTACAGCGGCACTATCAACCACTAGAGCAGTAGTTACAGCGTCACTGTCAACCACTAGAGCAGTAGTTACAGTGGCACTATCAACCACTAGAGCAGTAGTTACAGTGGCACTATCAACCACTAGAGCAGTAGTTACAGCGTCACTATCAACCACTAGAACAGTAGTTACAGCGTCACTATCAACCACTAGAGCAGTAGTTACAGTGGCACTGTCAACCACTAGAGCAGTAGTTACAGTGGCACTATCAACCACTAGAACAGTAGTTACAGCGTCACTGTCAACCACTAGAGCAGTAGTTACAGCGTCACTATCAACCACTAGAACAGTAGTTACAGCGTCACTATCAACCACTAGAGCAGTAGTTACAGTGGCACTGTCAACCACTAGAGCAGTAGTTACAGTGGCACTATCAACCACTAGAGCAGTAGTTACAGCGTCACTATCAACCACTAGAGCAGTAGTTACAGTTGCACTATCAACCACTAGAGCAGTAGTTACAGCGTCACTGTCAACCACTAGAGCAGTAGTTACAGCGTCACTATCAACCACTAGAACAGTAGTTACAGTGGCACTATCAACCACTAGAGCAGTAGTTACAGTGGCACTATCAACCACTAGAGCAGTAGTTACAGTGGCACTGTAGAACACGACAAAGTATGAGGACAGAGCTCTGGCACTATAAGCCAATGACAATGGACATAATCACGAGAACACGTATGCTAATGAGAGATTTAAATTATCCTGAAACTGACTTGAAAATATAGCTTCTTCCATGGAGGGTAAACCTGATGGATGTTAGGAAGAGTAATTTCCTGATGTATTCAAGAGAGAGAAATACTAAATCAAAGACGAGAAGTTTGGTACGGGCTTCATGCTGGGGCCGCATACTCCAGGATTGGTCTTACATATGTGGTATACAAGACTCTGAATGATTCCTTACACAGGTTTCTAAAGGCAGTTTTGATGTTAGCCAGCCTTGCATGCGCCGCTCATATTTATTTTTTATTTGGGCTTCAGGAGACAAGTTTGGTGTGATATCAACTCCTAGATCTTTCTCTCTGACCGTTTCATGAAGGACTTCATCTACCATTCGGTATCCTGTGTCTGTCCTCCTGTTTCCACCGCCTAGTTTCATTGCCTTACAATTATTTGGGTTGAACTTTAGTACCCATCTGAGAATACCCTCCTTTTCAATTCCGCCTGCATCTTCAGTTTGTGCACTAGTCTCTTATGTGGTAATGTGTCAAAAGCTTTCCTATCCTCAGTCTCATTACCTGTTCCTTCGGTGTTGCTTTTCTCCTGATGTGGCTGCGCAGCAATTTAGGTTCATTCTTTGCCTTGCTTACGATGTCATTTTTGTATTGTCCTTCTGCCTCTCTTCTCAACCTGACGTTCATTCCTGGCTCTCTGGTATCTTTCTCTGCTCTCCGGTGTCCTGTTATTTCTATAGTTTCTCCACGCCCTTCTACTGTGTTGCTTTGCTATCTTACATCTCTGGTTAAACCATGGGTTTCCCGTCTGCTTTTCGTTGTTTCCTTTTGGACTGGTACAAACTTGTCTGCTGCGTCCTTGCACTTCTGCGTGACGAAAGTCCACCGTGTCTTCAGAGGCGTCTGGAGGCTGTGGCCGCCTGGAGGCTGTGGCCGCCTGGAGACTGTGGACGTCTGGAGGCTGTGAACGCCTGGAGGCTGTGGATGCCTGGAGGCTGTGGACGTCTGGAGGCTGTGGGCGTCTGGAGGCTGTGGGCGCCTGGAGGCTGTGGGCGCCTGGAGGCTGTGACCGCCTGGAGGCTGTGGGCGTCTGGAGGCTGTGGGCGCCTGGAGGCTGTGGGCGCCTGGAGGCTGTGACCGCCTGGAGGCTGTGGGCGCCTGGAGGCTGTGACCGCCTGGAGGCTGTGGGCGCCTGGAGGCTGTGGGCGGCGCAGATGACCACCACCATCCTATCCCTGACCCACATGTTGCGTCCCCAACACACGTACACGCGCGCGCAAACACACACAGATAGGTACAATCACCTCAGGTGTACGGAGTCTCACCCTCCCGTTAATAACAGGATCAGTAACACCTGGCTTCACTGTCAACATCTTAAGTACTAACCGGACCATCTCAAAACATGGCATCATTAGGGACTAAGTTCATCACAATACTCCAGTGCGTCACATGTTAGTCACAAGCATGTAAGACTACGTCACATGTGAGTCACAAGCATGTAAGACCACGTCACATGTGAGTCACAGGAAATAACAGCAGACGGTAGACAGGATTACTGTAGAGAAATGATAAAAAAGGAGATTACCATGACCCATACTTAGGACCACCCGTCTCGCGCCCTACCCGTCACACTCCCCACCCGTCACACTCCCCGCCCGTCACACTCCTCGCCCGTCACGCTCCCCACCCGTCACACTCCCCACCCGTCACACTCCCCGCCCGTCACGCTCCCCACCCGTCACACTCCCCGCCCGTCACACGCCCCGCCCGTCACACTCCCCACCCGTCACACTCCCCGCCGTTCACGCGCCCCACCCGTCACACGCCCCGCCCGTCACACTCCCCACCCGTCACACTCCCCGCCGTTCACGCGCCCCACCCGTCACACTCCCCGCCGTTCACGCGCCCCACCCGTCACACGCCCCGCCCGTCACACTCCCCACCCGTCACACTCCCCGCCCGTCACGCTCCCCACCCGTCACACGCTCCACCCGTCACACGCCCCGCCCGTCACACTCCCCACCCGTCACACTCCCCGCCGTTCACGCGCCCCACCCGTCACACGCCCCGCCCGTCACACGCCCCACCCGTCACACGCCCCGCCCGTCACACGCCCCACCCGTTACACGCCCCGCCCGTCACACACCCCACCCGTCACACGCCCCACCCGTCACGCGCCCCACCCGTCACACGCCCCGCCCGTCACACTCCCCACCCGTCACACGCCCCGCCCGTCACACTCCCCCACCCGTCACACGCCCGACCCGTCACACTCCCCAACCCGTCACACGCCCCGCCCGTCACACGCCCCACCCCCACCCGTCACACTTCCCACCCGTCACACGCCCCGCCCGTCACACTCCCCACCCGTCACACGCCCCACCCGTCACACGCCCCGCCAGTCACACTCCCCACCCGTCACACGCCCCACCCGTCACACTCCCCGCCCCCCACCCGTCACACTCCTCACCCGTCACACTCCCCACCCGTCACACGCCTCAGTGTGTTCCTTCTCTTTTCCCAGAGGTCTGGGTGTGGCAGGGGAGGTCTGTGTGTGGCAGGGGAGGTCTGGGTGTGGCAGGGGAGGTCTAGGTGTGGCAGGGGAGGTCTGGGTGTGGCAGGGGAGGTCTGGGTGTGGCAGGGGAGGTCTGGGTGTGGCAGGGGAGGTCTGGGTGTGGCAGGGGAGGTCTGGGTGTGGCAGGGGAGGTCTGGGTGTGGCAGGGGAGGTCTGGGTGTGGCAGGGGAGGTCTGGGTGTGGCAGGGGAGGTCTGTGTGTGGCAGGGGAGGTCTGTGTGTGGCAGGGGAGGTCTGGGTGTGGCAGGGGAGGTCTGGGTGTGGCAGGGGAGGTCTGTGTGTGGCAGGGGAGGTCTGTGTGTGGCAGGGGAGGTCTGGGTGTGGCAGGGGAGGTCTGGGTGTGGCAGGGGAGGTCTGTGTGTGGCAGGGGAGGTCTGTGTGTGGCAGGGGAGGTCTGGGTGTGGCAGGGAAGGCCTGATTGTGGCAGGGAGGACCGGCATGTGGCAAGGAAGAGCCACTAAAGAGTTTCAACAGTGGCGGGGAAGTTTCCCACGGCAGTAACGCCACACCGTCACGACGCCAAGGACATTCCCTGAACCCAATAATAATCTCAGGAATTTACCCACAAAATTATTGCCCATTCACTTAATTACAAAAATATGACAACTGAACGAATACTTTCACTACCAGAGGTACACACTACCAGTGGTACACACTACCAGTGGTCCACACTACCAGTGGTCCACACTACCAGTGGTCCACACTACCAGTGGTCCACACTACCAGTGGTCCACACTACCAGTGGTACACACTACCAGTGGTACACACTACCAGAGGTACACACTACCAGTGGTCCACACTACCAGTGGTCCACACTACCAGTGGTCCACACTACCAGTGGTCCACACTACCAGTGGTCCACACTACCAGTGGTACACACTACCAGTGGTCCACACTACCAGTGGTCCACACTACCAGTGGTCCACACTACCAGTGGTCCACACTACCAGAGGTACACACTACCAGTGGTCCACACTACCAGTGGTACACACTACCAGTGGTCCACACTACCAGTGGTCCACACTACCAGTGGTCCACACTACCAGTGGTCCACACTACCAGTGGTCCACACTACCAGAGGTACACACTACCAGTGGTCCACACTACCAGTGGTCCACACTACCAGTGGTCCACACTACCAGTGGTCCACACTACCAGTGGTCCACACTACCAGTGGTACACACTACCAGTGGTCCACACTACCAGTGGTCCACACTACCAGTGGTCCACACTACCAGTGGTCCACACTACCAGAGGTACACACTACCAGTGGTCCACACTACCAGTGGTACACACTACCAGTGGTCCACACTACCAGTGGTCCACACTACCAGTGGTCCACACTACCAGTGGTCCACACTACCAGTGGTCAACACTACCAGTGGTCCACACTACCAGAGGTACACACTACCAGTGGTCCACACTACCAGTGGTACACACTACCAGTGGTCCACACTACCAGTGATCCACACTACCAGTGGTCCACACTACCAGTGGTACACACTACCAGAGGTACACACTACCAGTGGTCCACACTACCAGTGGTCCACACTACCAGAGGTACACACTACCAGTGGTCCACACTACCAGTGGTACACACTACCAGTGGTCCACACTACCAGTGGTCCACACTACCAGTGGTCCACACTACCAGTGGTCCACACTACCAGTGGTCCACACTACCAGAGGTACACACTACCAGTGGTCCACACTACCAGTGGTCCACACTACCAGTGGTCCACACTACCAGTGGTCCACACTACCAGTGGTCCACACTACCAGTGGTACACACTACCAGTGGTCCACACTACCAGTGGTCCACACTACCAGTGGTCCACACTACCAGTAGTCCACACTACCAGAGGTACACACTACCAGTGGTCCACACTACCAGTGGTACACACTACCAGTGGTCCACACTACCAGTGGTCCACACTACCAGTGGTCCACACTACCAGTGGTCCACACTACCAGTGGTCAACACTACCAGTGGTCCACACTACCAGAGGTACACACTACCAGTGGTCCACACTACCAGTGGTACACACTACCAGTGGTCCACACTACCAGTGGTCCACACTACCAGTGGTCCACACTACCAGTGGTACACACTACCAGAGGTACACACTACCAGTGGTCCACACTACCAGTGGTCCACACTACCAGTGGTCCACACTACCAGAGGTCCACACTACCAGTGGTACACACTACCAGTGGTCCACACTACCAGAGGTACACACTACCAGAGGTACACACTACCAGAGGTACACACTACCAGTGGTCCACACTACCAGTGGTCCACACTACCAGTGGTCCACACTACCAGTGGTCCACACTACCAGTGGTCCACACTACCAGGGGTACACACTACCAGAGGTCCACACTACCAGTGGTCCACACTACCAGTGGTCCACACTACCAGAGGTACACACTACCAGAGGTACACACTACCAGAGGTACACACTACCAGAGGTACACACTACCAGAGGTACACACTACCAGTGGTCCACACTACCAGTGGTACACACTACCAGTGGTCCACACTACCAGTGGTCCACACTACCAGAGGTACACACTACCAGTGGTCCACACTACCAGTGGTCCACACTACCAGAGGTACACACTACCAGAGGTACACACTACCAGTGGTCCACACTACCAGTGGTACACACTACCAGAGGTACACACTACCAGTGGTCCACACTACCAGTGGTACACACTACCAGTGGTACACACTACCAGAGGTACACACTACCAGTGGTCCACACTACCAGAGGTACACACTACCAGTGGTACACACTACCAGTGGTCCACACTACCAGTGGTCCACACTACCAGTGGTCCACACTACCAGTGGTCCACACTACCAGAGGTACACACTACCAGAGGTCCACACTACCAGTGTACCTCTGGTAATGTGTACCAATGGTAGTGTGTACCACTGGTAGTATGTACCACTGGTAGTGTGGACCACTGGTAGTGGTCCAAGACCAGTCACTTGTCCCCTCCTGTTCCCCAATCCTATTTCTCTAATCCCTCCCTCCAATCCTTTGTCTCCCAGTCCTTCCAATCCTCCCCACCTGTTCTGTCCCCCTCGTCCTCCTGTCCTCTATACCAGTGACGAATTGGAGTGCCAGTAACCTCTGCGCCGTAAACCGTGCTCGCGAGTTTACCTTAGGTGGACAGTCCAGCTTGTTACCTACGAGGTGGTTGTTACTGCCTAGTTCAGTTTCTGGGAGAGGACCGCCCCCCCCCCACGCAAGTGTCAAGCTTTTCATTGGCCAAGAGCTGAAGCTTTTGGTTCATTGGGTACATGTGCCAGGGAGGCCTAGTGGGCAGAGTCCCCCAGGGTAGTGCCACACGTCCCATTGGCTAGCCTCGCAGGCCTAGAGTGAACTTTTGAATTCATTGGCTCTAGACTTCGAGAGGCGGGGCTTATTGGGCTTAGGAAAACTTAGAGAAGGAGGAGCTTGTTCCTACTGGTTTAGTTTAAGGAAATATTAAGTTTAGTGAGTCTTTGTGAGTTAGTGGGGAAAGGTCCGCCATCAGGGCCAGAGAGCAGCCACTCAACACCCTGTGGCCGGTTTTACAGTTTTAAGGTAGAGTGTGCGTGAGTGTTCATGTCCATCAGTAGATATCATCGCCTCTTGGGCT